CAACATTTTCGGTGACTATCAGAATGCGTTAGCTCACAATATGAGGAGCCTTTTATACCCCAAATCGATGCACAATGGACGGGAGTGCAATGTATAAGTGCGCCACCGTCGTCCGCGGGTTCACTAAGCACACAAACAGCCAAAGGATTTCCGCTCGATCCGTTCAACTAATGAAAATCTGCCGAATAATTCATGCGTATGTTAAATACAAATCATTACGCATAGCTATCCATGTCGAGCCGTCGCAACGATACTGGATGGTTTGTACATATCTTCGACCCACCAGAGTGATAGTCGGTGGTCCCTCTGGATCTCTTTTGGGTTACTCCGACATGGTTAGCCAGTCGTTTAAAGATCAGACGAACCCAGTCTCCTTGTCCACTAGGTTGAGGGCCACAAATGGGGTTGGTGTCCATTTCTGCGAAAGCGGATAGCTGCTATCCTCCCCCAAGGTTGAGGTCTACTACGGGCTTTGCTTTCAAACGTGTCACAAATCTCCCGGTCCGGACGAATGGATAGAGGCCCCTTTTTCCTTTGTGAATGACTCACATTTAGTGGATTTGAAGTTTAGCGTACATCGTAACTGTCTTCAAAATATTTGACTGAACAGGTTGCACTAACTATCAATGGATACGTTCTTTAGATATCACTTCCAAAGGGATCGCCTCTCTGCGTTTGAGAATGACTAAAGTACACAAACAGCATATACGGAAGGAACAAGCTGGGTTTCGCCCAAGTAGGACGATGCGTTTGATCACACCTTTAAGATCCGATAGATGCTGAAGCGCCGTCGAGCTTTCAGTCCATCTAGCATCATTTGAGTCAGATGACAGACCCGCTCTACGAAGGTGCTTACCGAGAAGGGACGTGCCTGAGTCTGTCAACATGCTTTAGGCAAGCAAATTCTTCATTCGCGGGCCACCGGGGGTGTAAGAAGAGCACTCATTCTAATAAAATATCACCAGTGGTGTGAGCCCCACATCACCCTTCTAGTGCAACTTCGTCAAAGATGATATGTTGGAGAATACGATGTAAAATTGTGTTTAGCAGCGATTTCTTCCAGGCGATCAGCCTGGTGACTTACAGTATGATGACGATATCGTTGCGATATGTCAGTTCACACAGGCAGGAAATATCTGCCTCAAAGTTCGAAATGACAACTGCATTTCGAAGTTCCAAATTTTCCTGTGAGATCGGTTACAACCTGCTCCTAAATTCCATATTCAACTGCTCTATGGAAATATTCAAAGTTTGTTTAGCTTGGGGGCTGAATGAGAGCGGGAAGAATAGGGTATGAGATTGTCGTGCGAGTTTACAAAATCAGAGTAGCTTTCGACAAAAGTATATGCCTCTGGTACCTGCGTCATCTCAGTCTCCCACTGAAGGGCCAAGTTTAAAACGCTACGGTAAAAACAGTGCATTTCTATGATTGCCAGACCTGGTCTTTCGCGGGCCTGTTTTTGATCACCGCTGTGTTCATAGCATCGCTAATGTATGTTGGCAGTATCGTGCCAGGTAATGATGATGCCCGTCGTCGGATTTTAAAGTCTGATAGTCTTTGCTTACCACTGCGCTGTGTAATCTCTTCGCGCATGCTTACGCTGCTCAGGAAGGTGCTTTGTATGTCTACTCAGTTTGACCATAAAACTGCAAGGAAACAAGGAAATGGAGCAGCACAGAGTAACTCCACTTAGTGTAGTGAACCCAGAAAAGAAAGGCAACAGCAGTACGCCGGACCGACGCTTCGCTGCCGCGCAACTGCCAACAGCCGTGCGTGGGTTATGGATACTGCAAGAGTCGCTGGTTCCCTAAGCAGGCTCAGACCCGCGACCTCAGATTACAGAGTAGGCTTGTTATCCACTGAACTCAGAGCGGTTCCCCGTAGATCTTTATTGTTCAGTCGTGTTGAATTTATTATTATTACTATTATTTTTGTGACGTGCATCAAGATAGCTAGGCATACCACAGCCTGGTGCATGGATCAAAGTTGGCAAAACGAGCTGGACCACCGGTAAAACAGCGAACACCAACCAAATTCAGACACGTGAGATCCATCACGATCTATGCTATACTGTTGGCTGATCACCACAGGATTTCACTGAAATAGGTACAGTGTTGGTAAATAATGGAAGTGGACGTTAAGCGCGCCTTGTTTGTCGTCTCTGCCTTCGCCCCTACAGACTGCAGTCCGGATGCAGTCAAGGATAGCTTTTACCAGCAGCTACATGAATTTCTACGTTACTCCAAAAAACTGATACAGTCATACTTGCCGGGGACTTTAACGCACCAAGCGAGCACAACCATGGGGGTAGTTTTGGCCTCGGTGGCAGTCGATCAGACAATGGAGACAGACTGCTCGCTTTTTGCTATGATCATCACTTCTTTCGAGCATTAGTTTTCGGCACTCGAGGAGTCACACTGCTACCTGGCGCCCGTCCTCACAAACGCAAGAGTGCTCCCAGCTTGACCACATAGCATACAGCTACTGATGGCGTGGAAGCGTAACGGACTACCGATCGTACTGGCCAACTTATCTAGACTCCGATCACGTATTGGTTCGAGCTAAAATTTGCATGAGTTTCGGAGGAGCACATAAGCGCGCTCACTACCGATCGGACGTCGCAAATCTCCAAAACCCTGCGATTTTAACTAGGTACCAAGCCTCACTGTCAACATTGCTTGGCTCAACTACTGACGGTGACCTCGATTCGCAGTGGACGAAGATCAAAGATGCTTTAGTTTCCGCCAGTATTGACAAATGTGGAGTTGCCCGTCACCCACCGAAGCACTGGATTTCCGCCGTCTCCTTGTCGCTGATGGACAAACGCCGCTTGATCCCGTCGGATTCCAGCCACAGTGAAGAACGTCAATCCCTGGATCGAGAGTTGCGCAGGAATCTGCAAATGAACCGCGTAGCTTTTTGGCGTGAACGTGCTAAGGAGATGGAGCTTGCTAGTCTCTCTACTTTTCCATCTCATTCGAGTCACCGAAGGTGTTCGACCTGATATAAGTGAAACTATAAACGAGGGGAATGGCACCTTAATCACCAATCTTCAACGACGAATGGAGCGATGAGCCGAACATTTCAGTTGCACTTTCGTTGGCCCCCAGCTCCATCTATTACCTCTGGCGCTCGCACTGGTGCCGAGTGGTCTACCGCCACAGATCCTCCCTCTCACCAGCAAATCGAGCAGGAGCTCCGTCGCATGAAGCGTTATAAAGCCCCCGGCATTGAGGTTCTTCCTCCAGCTCTATTTAAAGATAGTGGCGCTTCGCTGGTTCGAGAACTCACTACTTTGGTTGAAAGAGGAAGTTCCATCATCTTGAGGTAAATCGATAGTCGTCCCCATCTTCAAAAAGGGCTTGCGCACAAGCTGCTCCAATTAAAGAGGCATAAGCTTAGTCCCCGTCGTTCGCAAGCTGCTGGTGTCCATCATACTTCGCAGGCTATCCCCAACGCGCGAATCGTTGCAGCGAGAAGAACAAGCTGGGTTTCGCCCTGGTCGTGGCTGCATCGATAAAATCTTCACATTGCGCCATGTGTATCAGAGGCCAATGATTGCTGTGTTCTTGGATATCCATGCGGTCTTCGATTCTGTCGATCGGACTGTACTGTGACACTGCCTACTGAGGAATGGCGTCCCCTAGAAGTTCGTATCCATACTGCGCTCTCTCTATGGTCTGACATCGGGAAGAGTTAGGGCTTATGGCAAGCTTTCGCCTACCTTTGTGGTCTCCAGTGGAGTTCGACAAGAATGTCCTATCTCTCCGTTCCTATTCAACTTTGCCATTGAGTATGTCTTAAAGAACGCTTTGGGCGGTTCGTTAAACGCTGGCGTTGAGCTCCTCCCAGGTAGTCGAGTTGTTAATTTGGATTATGCTGATGATATCGTCTTGCTGGGTGACGATCCACACGCCGTCCAACTTGCAGTAAACCGATTGACGATTGAAGCATCAAAGTATGGTATGTACTTTTCGCCATCCAAATGCAAGACTCTCTTTCAAGACTGGCAGGTGCCTGCGTCTGCACTCACGCTTGGTGGTGAGACACGGGTGGTTGTGAAGAGCTTTGTTTACTTGGGAAGTTGCATCACTGCTGGCGCGGCTGTTGGAGACAATATTTTGATACGCATCTCAAAAGCACGCCTCGTTTTTCTAGCCTAATGCAATTGTGGAGTCGCCGCGACATTCGTCTCTCCATCAAAGGGAGGGTCTATTGTGCAACTGTTCGTGCTGAACTGTTGTACGGATGCGAGAGCTGGCCCATTCGTAATGATGACTTGCGTAGCCCATCCGTCTTCGAGCACCGCTGTCTGCGGTTTATTAAATAATAATAAATAATGCGTCAGCTGTACGCCGTAACGGCACTTCGCTGCCGCGCGACCACCACCAGTCGCGCGCGGGCTGAGTATACCGCGAGGACGCCCACCCCTACGCGGATTCGAACCGGTGACCTTATGGTTGCAAATCAAACGTGCAGACCACTCGACCACCGGCCGATCTGCGGATAATTTCTAGTTGAAGACCTTGGAAGTCATGGCTCAAAATCGATGTCTGTGGCAGATAGGTACATCGGTGTGTTGCGGTGTCCCACCTTCCTCCCCCTAAAAAAAGCAAACTGAAAAGATTTCAAAAAGTGTGAGTAGCAATCTGGACAAAAAAGCCTTTGTTGCCGTTATGTAATTATTATTCCTGCTGTTTTTCCAACCAGCCATGATTCCGATGACATAAAATTTATCCCACAGATAGTGTGTTATATATATATATATATATATATATATATATATATATATGGAAATCGAAGCACCCAGCGTTAAGTGCGCATGACCAAACTATACCTGCAATCTATCAACTGAGTCGGTGGGCAAAGCGATGAAACGAATGATCAGGTTACGATAGCAGGAGTAACGTAAAACAGTGGCATCGTGAAAAGTAATAACTAAAGAAGGAGCATCTGATAAGGAAGCAGCCATATTTTGCGGAAAAAGGTACTAACTTACGAGATTTCGGACAACGCACAACGCATCGTGCAGGGATCGTTTGGCTTCATCAACAATCATCCGAGAGCTTCCACGCAGAAAACAAGTGACAGCTTTGGAATTCACACAGTCTTCGATGACCAACATGCGATCCTTCGTCGTACCAAACGTTAACTCACGAACAATGCCAGCTTTGCCTAGCTTTTCGCTCGTAAGCTCCTCAAATCTAGGAACGATACGCCCGCCCGTAGCCATGGCTATTAGTTCAATTTCCGGGCCACCAACCCAACGAACAGCTGGTAGTTTCTCCTGAAGGAGAAGATGATTAGCTTCATCATCAAATCCCCATTGGCAGATGACCAAATTGGCACCTGCGTCTTTGACCCTGTAAAAGGAGGTGATAATCGGAAGACAGTCTTCGCAATCGTTCGATAAACGCGTGAGGACCAAAGACTCAAGTGCAGGCGACAAAATGCTTAGGAAAGCTGGAGAACACGAAGATCAGAACTGACCCGGGGTACTAGTTAACAAGTTAAACAGAAGCAAATAAAATACAAACCTAAGTGTTTCCAGACGCTACTGTATGAGTAACCCACTGTGAGAAATAATGCAAAGTCCACGAAGCCTAACTGAATAGAGCAACAAGATGACAGAGCCGACAAGTCCGGACTGTCAGCGGTTACATGTGTGGGTCAGACGATGATTCATTAGATGACTCGATTAAAAAGGTAGAAGAAGGGTTGATTCAGGGAGGAACGATGGACGGCCGGGAATCAAAGTATGACCTATGGTGGGAGGTGAGGTGAAGTCAGGATCTTTGGTGCAGAACGGAACGGATCATTCACACGGTGCGTGGAGGAGATGCAATAAGGAGGCTTAGTACATGTTGTGGGAATAAGCATGTGGAGTAGAGTTAGGACAAGGCCAATGAGATGAAGTGCGTGTGAAAGCGATGCCCAGCATTGGACAATTAGTCTGTGCTTGCTGGTCATAATAGAAATAGGAGTCGCGATGCGACTAGACGAGCAAAACATGCGTTAAACCATGAATTATTGAGTATTTGGAGCAGGTATGTTAAAAGATGATACAAACAATGCGACCAGCGATGCTACTGGTAGTTCAGTTGATCACAGCATCGTGCCGATGAGGAGAACTAGGAATCAAGTGGGTGGAAGGCTTCTACCTATTAAAGGTCATGAAAGGCGTCGGAGGGTTCTATCCCCCTGGGTATATTGAGCCTATTTCGCGTTTTTTGTGAGTAGAGGGGTTAGAGTCCCGTCTGCGTGTCGTAGCTCTTCGTCCAGGAGAGTGAGAGTACACAGTAGGAAGCATTATAATCTCCTAAGGGTCATTGGTGACTCGAACGTTTCACACAGACTTGGAGCATTTTGCCGGTATTGTAGATGCTTTGGCAGACGGTCACATGAGAGTGCAACTGTTCAGTGCATTAACGTTCCAAGGAGAAGTCTGAAAAGTGCTCCTTCAATTCTGTCCATCGTGATAATCACTGCCGTCTGTCAGAGTTACACGCTGAGTGATCACTGCGCTCTAACTTAATATGCAGAAGCTATCACTGAAACCTCGAGTTTGAGCAAGTAAGGAACAGAGCACCGTAGTTCAACTGCGTTCCTGAAAGGGAGCAGGCCATTTAATAATAGATGCGGAATTACCGGATGAGGTTCTGCTACGTCCGCAGTTAATGAGACACAGAGCCGTCAGAACAAAGACTTAACCACGCCAGACAGCGTACGCCGAAAGTAATGTCAATACGACACAGGCAAGACAACCGACAACAGAGTAAGGTAAGAGAGTGTGTCAGACAGGCCGTGTCGCACAATCGGGGACTTCAGACACATGGATCACAGTAAAGCAGTGGGTGGGAGTGAAATTGTTGGTCAGAGCCGCACAACGGCGCTGTACTTCCAGACACCGGATGGCCGGACCTAGCAGTTTTCTTCATGTATCTTAGAAGACAGATGAGTGGCGGCTGGGGATCGATCGAGTGTTCAAGGGGAACAGCAACTGTACTGAAAAGTGTCAGGCGTCCGGTGACTTAAACGTTGGTTGCATTCCAAAAGATGCCAAAATCCGGTGCTAAAAATGAAAAGGCCAGTGAAATATCACTGATTGGCTTAGACAGCAAACGAAAATCCAAAGAAGCACAATTTTCACATTAAACCGAAAGATCCGTTGGAAAAGAAGCCGTCGCAACCAGGCTAGACCTTAACGTGGTGCGACGGTTTGCGTACCTCCTAGACCCATTGAGTCATAATGGGTAGTGCTCCCGAGCCCCTTGAGATATTCCTACCAGGTTGGTTAAAAGTTAGACAAACCCAGTCTCCTGGTCATCCAGCTTGGGTTGGAAATGTGATGGCGCGCACCTGGCAGTCCACGTACATCCATGACCATTTCTTCAAAGTTCAACCACATCTAGCATCGGCCGTCGCGTAGATTATCAATAGTCCCCTTATCTGCTGAATACAGCGGGATGGATAGGTGTAAAGGTGCTACTGATGGCGCCTCTATTCTTTTATTTCCACATGTTTCTCTTGCTCTATTCCCAACCCACATTACTACTAACCTTCTCTCTATAGGTTTCAGCTTAACTGACAACAGCAGTAATGACCCTGGAGCAGAACCATCTGCAACTACCGTCGTGCACCACCCACTGGACACCAATCGTCACGCTGTCGCGTATACCTAGCGGCGTTCAACGTACGCACCTTAAGACAACTAGGTCAACAGGCTACACTTGTACGCATGTTGAACACATTGGGTACTAGCGTGTGTTGTGTGAGCGAAACTAGGAGCAAGAAACACTCACGGGGTCGTTGGATTAACTGCGCCCGGTTTGTCCCCTTGCTATTGGTTGCACATATCCGGAGACGCAGATGCGACAAACACTGGTCAAGGTGGTGCAGGTATCGTTCGCAGCTCTGAGGCTGACTCCTCGTAAGTTGATTGGATTCCCGTAAGCAGCCGGTTTGACGACTTCAAATAAAATTGATTCAAAAAGTAGCAAAAGACGCCGTTTACCTTTGGTTTCCGATAATGCTCCCACCGACTGCAGCTCTGATGCTGAAAGACGCCTTCTACCACAAACTGAACCCACTGATTCGCAGATACCAGTACAAATATCGTTGTTGCTGTAGGGAATATGAGGCTGGCTTACCGAACAACCTCAATATGGTGCCAACTGGGCGGTTCGCGTATTCCGCGTCACGGCTAATGGTTCGGTGGCAGTGTTCCAGGACGTGGTGGATTTATGCTCCGCAAGCGTCCTCCCTATAAAAACCAGTGTCTGCTTCACAACCCTGCGAGGTGGCGGATGTGACTCGCCACTGGATAAAATAACTGCTTCTTGTGTTCTTCGGAAAGATTTCACACCGGCAAGCAAGTTGAGCATCGGATTTCGCTTTAGACTTCCGGTGTCGAGACCTGGGTATGGCATTTCCTCATCCGAATGGTGTATGAACTGAATGTTCAGTCGCTGGCTCCCAAAGGGGGCGAAATCCTTATTGCGCGCTGCTGCCTAGTAGGTTAGGCTCATCGGCGTAAGGCCAACTTCGATCAAGGCAAGGCAACCGGATGGTATCTCAGCTACTGATGAACCATGGAACCACACAAATACGTTCACTCTCTGCTCTCAAGATTCCATGTCCTGATACCAGGCTAACTTTATAAACACTGTGAACTACCACACCGCGGCCTACGAAGTTGTGCTCTCGCAACCAGACAACTCAACTGCTAGCCCAGAAGACAGCCATCTTCGTTACTGCAGTTCAAACTAGCAACACCCAACGTGCGTATATTATTACAGTTCGGACGGCAAGCTGAACTTGCAGGTATTCTGGAGACCCTTGCAATCGATGTTTGCTGACTGAGGGAAAGGACTCCATGATTCCAATACAGTCTACTAGCTGTCATTACCCGTTATTACTTGCGGCTTTCTGGTGACGCTGAGTTCGCCGCAGTTGGAAAAGCTGGTATTGGAATCGCCCTCAATGACAGAGCGAAGATCGCTCCTAACTGGATTCCGGTCAACAGTTACCAATGTACCATGAGGCTCGATGGCTCTTGCAAGGTTAGTAAAGTCGAACCGACACAAGTGCTCTTTCGTAATCTCCGCCTAAGCCCCCCACTGACTGCAGCTTGGAGAAAGTCATGGACCAGTTCAAGCAACAACATGAGTCGCTCCTAAGGACGCCAAAAACAGATACCATAGTTATGGCAGGAGACTCCAACTTACATGTCGGTCAGTTGCTGACATGTGAACGCCACCTCAGAGGACCGCACAGATATAATGATATCCACTCCGACAACAGAAAGACTGCTCAGCCTATACGCAGACCACCACTATTTCCTCTTCAACACGAACATTAGTCACCCCTGACGACACTATGCCACGTGGCGCCCTCCATCATCAATCCAGTGCTGGTCACAAATTATTCACGAAGCCATAAGTCGCAGCTGGCGCGGCAGCGCACGCGATTTTCGGTCCTTTTGATTAAGTTGCGTTGACACCGATCATGGATTTGCGTGTGCGATAGTTTACATGCGTTTCCGTGGTTCACCCAGGGCCAAGCAAACAAGAATGAACACTTACAAACTGGAGGACCCAACGGTAAAACGGGTAATCAAAAGAATTTTTGTGAACATCTTGCTCTCTCCCTACTCTGGATGCTGATCAGTTATAGTCAGGTCTGCGACAAGCCATGCTGTCCGCCGATTTGTCCAGCCGCGGACTCACCCGCTGCGCAACCACAAGTCGGATTCTCGGAGTTGCTAGATCGTCGTTGTGGAGCAAAACGGGCTCCGTCAGCTTATCAAAAGCTGAAGACAAGTCCTATCTCTGATCGTGAATCTCTGTGGTCAAAATGAGCTGCTGTGATAAAAGCCGTTGCATCAACTGGAATCTTAAGCAGTTTATTTTGCCTTCTCATGACCACTGGTTGCAATTCACGCACCGTCAGTCAAACAACCTGAGAGTTAAATGGTACAAAGATCATCAACCTAAATAGGCGCTTGAGGCACTGGGTAGAGCAATTTGTTTTTCAATCTAACTACCCGTTACATTGCTCTGTAACATCTCCATTTTCCACAGATGTTGTTTGTCCTGTACCCACAGATTCTGCAACCAAAACAGAGATCCGAAGCGCAATCCAACTTTTGAAGTATCACAAAGCGTCCTGCCTTGACAGTCTACCAAGGACTCTATTCAAACACAGTGGGAATACATTTGTCAGCGAAATCCTATCACTATTCAAGAGAATTTGGGATTGAAGAGAAAGTCCCAATCGCATGAGGTGACTGGGTCATTGTCCCGATTCACAAGAAAGGCTCCCGCGAGGATTGCGCCAATTACTGCGGAATTTTGCTGATCGCTGTTCTCGCCAAGAATTTCGTGTCTGTTACACTCCACAGACTTTCAGGGACTGGAGAAGGCATTTCCCGAGAGGAACAAGCGCGTTTTTATCCAGACCGAGGTTGCATTGACCAAATGTTCACACTCCGTCAACTTCTTGAACTCCGTCACATCCAATGACGACCAACAATCGCAGTATTTTTGGATATCCAAACGGCATTTGACTCGGTAATAGATCTGCGTTATGGAACTGTCTACTAAGGAAAAGTGTGCCCGACAGGTTTGCAACCATCCTGATGGATCTCTACAGTCACACGTCGGGCAAAGTCAGAGCTTGCAGCAAGCTTTCCACTTCGTTTCCTGTCACCAGTGGCGTGCGTCAAGGTCGTTCTACTTCACCTATCCTCTTCAAGTTTGTAATTGAAGATGTAACCCAATGAGCATTGAAAAATTCTAAAAACTGCGGTATTGATCCTCTCCCAGGTGATGGAGTCGCGGACTGTGACTACGCCGATGATATCACTTTGCTTGGGGACCATCCATAAAGCCGTCCCGAGCACTTCTAAAAACTTACCGATGAAGGCGTCTAAGTATGACCCCGAGAAAATGTAAAATACTACAACGAAATTGGCAGATGCCTGTGCCTGCCATTACTGGTGACGTTCTGGAACAAGTCCTTCGCTTCACATATCTGAAGAGTTGCACCACAGCTGGCGGCGATGCCGGAGATGAGGTCTCACAACGGATCGTAAAGGTCCGCCTTGCGTTCATCAGACTGAGACACCTATGAGGTCGTCGCAACGTCAGTCTCAAGCTGAAGGGCAAGGTGTTCATTTCTTCTGTCAGTGCGGTCCTGTTGTATGGCTGTAAGACCTGAAGACAAAGCGATTGTCAGTTTTTGACAAACGCTGTCTGCTTAGGATTACTCGCGTGTGGTGGCAGCATCACGTGAGCAACAAAGAAGTCCGAGAGCAAGCGTTTGGAACAAACAGCCCATGCCTCCAAACCGTTACTCTCCAACACCGCATACGTTGGCTGGGCCACGTATTATGCATGCTAGTCTATCACCATCCCGTCGAGCGTTATTTGCGCTCCCCGGAAACGACTGGAATAAGTGTCGCGGTGGACAACCAATGGCGTGAAGGAGCATGAAAAGGGCAATCTCAAGCTTAGCATTCGTGGAATCGATCCGCCTTCCAGGATGTCGACCCAATGCCATAGCAAGTACTTTTGATGCTGTGGCAAAGTTTTCCCCCTGAATGAGGACAGAATAGGCACGTGAACACTACACAATTGCCAAATGGTAAGGTGCATATTAGTTTCCGATGAAACGAATGATCGTTTTGACATGAAAGTAAATGTGGAAAGTGACCACAATAGAACAATCAAAGGGATTGCTGGGAAGAATATTTGCACAGGTGATACATGGGACAAATGTGTTGTTGGTCGCAGTGTTATATTAAAATCTTCAACAAACAGCTTATCCAGATAGTTTGTATTTTACATTTGATATCGAACAATCGGCGGTACTAAAAGTGACGCCGGGGGCGGACCTCTTCCTTATGCGACGCTGTTGTGGGGACCACGTGACTCGGACTGCCAGTGGTTAGAAACGTAAGAGATGATGGCGCGCAACAGACATCAGTAGGGGCAGTGTTGTTCAACCGCATATCTATTAGTTGTATGTATGCGTAAGTAGAAGTCTACTGAATATAGATAGTACCAAACAAACCATATACATCACTAGAAGAAGACAGGTTTAATCAAGGCGTCATCATCATGGCATCTTAGCTGAAGGTGAGCAACACACTTCAGCTATTGTGTCGTAAGAAAGGAGCATCTTTTGTTATGTTACACACGTCATCTTTTCATTTTTTTGTCTTGTTCAGTCGTTAAGCATTAAGTACCTAAATCAATACAATTATGTATGTAGATCCGTTACTGGCGAAGCATTGTATTCCAGCAACCTTATGCTGTACTTCTGGGGAGCATTAGGCCCCTGTTTGACAAAGGAACAAACGAAAGGCGTATGAACTGAGCAATCAGTCACCGGCTCCCAATGGGCGCGATTCCCTGAATTCGCTCCGCTGCCTTGCGGGCAGGCTATTCAGCCAAAGGCTCGGGGTGGTGTCTCCTAACTCAACATCCTACTTTGGCTTGGGCAACGGGGTAGTATCTTGCCCTCTGAGGAAACCATGGACATTGTTGTGTTGTGTTTTATTTTACTGTTTCTGTACCTTCGTTTGAATCCCATGGTTTCTGATGGCATTATGTCTGTTAGCAGACTTTTGCAAATATACTGGTTTCGATTGCGCGTCATATCAGGAATTGTTTCCAGCCATCGGCACTTTTCGCTTTTTGGTCCCCAACCAGGCAAGGTGTGGCAAGATGTGAAGTCAACGATTTCATATGCTGCCGCCAGGTGGACGGCTGACCACCACGTAATCTCTTCCAGCCAAGTCCTGCACAAGAGAAAAGGGCGCAGTGGAGCAGACGCTCAGCTAAGAAGCGCAGCACGTGACTGAGCCATCTAAACTGGCGAAACAAAACCAGCCTGCTGAAGGGAATACTCGCATTCCCTAAGACACGACGTCTGATTTCACTGTCGCAGAAACGTTGTTGCCACCACACACGAGCAATCCTCCTCAATCGCCCATTATCGAAGGCCGAGAGCCGGCGCATGTCATCTACGCGAAATGGCCATGATTCGCATCCATATAGCAACACCGCCAAAACAGCGGCATTGTAAACACGACGCTTTACTAAGAAGGAGACATCCCGACGACGCCACAAGTGTTTTAAGTTGACAAACGCCGACCGAGCTTTGGCGATGGGAAGAGAAACTTGCTTTGTAATGGTATCACTAGGAGACACAGATGCGCAGGTAGACAAAGCTATCCGCTTGGTCAAGCTCTGTAGCTTCAACAGTGAGCACGGAAACGGATGAGTGCCAACCCTGAAGCAGCCCTTTACACTTTGATGGGGCAAATCACATTTCGTACCTAGATGCCTCAATCGCCACAGTTTAGAATGGTTTGCATGCTCTGTGAGTCATCACCAAGTGGGGCGATATCATCGGCATAATCTAAGTCGGTCGCTCGATAGTAGCTACACACCTAACTTTTGGGAACCGTCTAGAGCTGTGGAAAGGAGGTTTTCAATCGTGAAACGGAAGAGGAACGGGGATATAGGGCAGCCCAGTCGTATACCGCTATTGACAGCGAAGGACGACGAAAGGTTGCCATAGACGTTACTCTGCCGAAGATGTTGAGATAGATTACGCGTTTTTTAGCAAACAACGCCACAGCGCATGTAGAGTAACTGAGTCGAATGCAGAACGGATGTCTAGGAATGTAACGGTAGTAGGCCTCTAGTAAGGGTGGCGGTGTTTCATGATTTGTCGGAGCGTAATTATTTGACCCACACACTCGCGGCCAGGTCGGAAGCCAGTTTGTTAGTCCCGCTACTGCGATTCGCGAATGGGAGATAGTCTACGGAGTAGAAGGGATGCACTATACAACGAGGATGGGTGGGGGAGGGGGGGGGCAGGGTGGGGGAGGGGGGAGGAGGTAGAGTGGGGAAGGATGGGAGGGGTGAGCAGGGTGGAGGGGGGGGGAGGGTGGTTGGGGGGGGTGGTTGAGCCGTGGTGAGTGGGGAGGAGAGGCGGAGGGCGGGGGGGGGGGGGGGGGTGGGGGGGGGGAGGGGAAGGGGGGGGAGGGGGGGTGAGCGGGGGGGGGACGGGGGGTTGGGGGAGGGGGAGTGGAAAATAAGTGGGGGTCTTGGGAGGGAATGGGGGGGTTGGGTGAGGATGAGGGTGGTGGGGGTAGGCGCGGCACTGGGGGGAGGAGGGGGTTGGGCGCTGGGGGATGGGTGGATGGGGTGGATGGCGCTGGAGGGGGGGGGGGGGGGGGGGGAGAGACGGGGGGGGTGGGGTTGGTTGGGGGGCAGAGGTGGGGGGGGGTGGGGGGGTGAGGTGGGGTCTGAGGGGGGGGGGTGAAGGGGGGGGGGGGGAGGGTCCTGGTCGGTGTGGGTGGGGTGGTATTGGTGTGGGGTGGTGGGGGGAGGGGTGGGGGGGGGGGGGGGGGGGGGGGGGGGGGGGGGGGGGGGGGGGGGGGGGGGGGGGGGGGGGGGTGGGGGGGGGGGGGGGGGGGGGGGTGGGGGGGGGGGGGGGGGGGGGGGGGGGGGGGGGGGGGGGGGGGGGGGGGGGGGGGGGGGGGGGGGGGGGGGGGGGGGGGGGGGGGGGGGGGGGGGGGGGGGGGGGGGGGGGGGGGGGGGGGGGGGGGGGGGGGTGGGGGGGGGGGGGGGGGGGGGGGGGGGGGGTGCGGCGTTAAGTTTTTTCCTTTTACGGTTTTTTTTCTTTTTTTTCTTTTGGCTTTTTTTTTAATTTTTTTGTTCATTTTTTTTTTGTGTTTCTTCTTTGCTTTTTTTTCGTTGGTGTTGCTTTTCGTTTTCTTTCTTCCGTTTCCAAGCGTTTGGCATCCCTTCTACTCCGTAGACTATCTCCCATTCGCGAATCGCAGTAGCGGGACTAACAAACTGGCTTCCGACCTGGCCGCGAGTGTGTGGGTCAAATAATTACGCTCCGACAAATCATGAAACACCGCCACCCTTACTAGAGGCCTACTACCGTTACATTCCTAGACATCCGTTCTGCATTCGACTCAGTTACTCTACATGCGCTGTGGCGTTGTTTGCTAAAAAACGCGTAATCTATCTCAACATCTTCGGCAGAGTAACGTCTATGGCAACCTTTCGTCGTCCTTCGCTGTCAATAGCGGTATACGACTGGGCTGCCCTATATCCCCGTTCCTCTTCCGTTTCACGATTGAAAACCTCCTTTCCACAGCTCTAGACGGTTCCCAAAAGTTAGGTGTGTAGCTACTATCGAGCGACCGACTTAGATTATGCCGATGATATCGCCCCACTTGGTGATGACTCACAGAGCATGCAAACCATTCTAAACTGTGGCGATTGAGGCATCTAGGTACGAAATGTGATTTGCCCCATCAAAGTGTAAAGGGCTGCTTCAGGGTTGGCACTCATCCGTTTCCGTGCTCACTGTTGAAGCTACAGAGCTTGACCAAGCGGATAGCTTTGTCTACCTGCGCATCTGTGTCTCCTAGTGATACCATTACAAAGCAAGTTTCTCTTCCCATCGCCAAAGCTCGGTCGACGTTTGTCAACTTAAAACACTTGTGGCGTCGTCGGGATGTCTCCTTCTTGTTAAAGGGTCGCGTTTAAAAGGCCACTGTTTGGGCGGTGTTGCTATATGGATGCGAGTCATGGCCAATTCGCGTAGACGACATGCGCCGGCTCTCGGCCTTCGATAATGGGTGATTGAGGAGGATTGCTCGTGTGTGGTGGCAACAACGTTTCTGCGACAGTGAAATCAGACGTCGTGTCTTAGGGAATGCGAGTATTCCCTTCCGCAAACTGGTTTTGTTTCGCCAGTTTAGATGGCTCGGTCACGTGCTGCGCTTATCAGCTGAGCGTTTGCCCCAATGCATCTTTTTCTCTTGTGCAGAACTTGGCTCGAAGAGATCAAGTGGTGGTCAGCCATCCACCAGGCAGCAGCATATGAAATCGTTGACTTCAAGTCTTGCCACACCTTGCCTGGTTGGGGACCAAAAAGCGAAAAGTGCCGATGGCTGGAAACAATTCCTGATATGACGCGCAATCGAAACCAGTATACTTGCAAAAGTCTGCTAACAGACATAATGCCATAAGAAACCATGGGATTCAAACGAAGGTACAGAAACAGTAAAATAAAACACAACACAACAATGTCCATGGTTTCCTCAGAGGGCGAGATACTACCCCGTTGCCCAAGCCAAAGTAGGATGTTGAGTTAGGGGACACCACCCCGAGCCTTTGGCTGAATAGCCTGCCCGCAAGGCAGCGGAGCGAATTCAGGGAATCGCGCCCATTGGGAGCCGGTGACTGATTGCTCAGTTCATACGCCTTTCGTTTGTTCCTTTGTCAAACAGGGGCCTAATGCTCCCCAGAAGTACAGCATAAGGTTGCTGGAATACAATGCTTCGCCAGTAACGGATCTACATACATAATTGTATTGATTTAGGTACTTAATGCTTAACGACTGAACAAGACAAAAAAAATGAAAAGATGACGTGTGTAACATAACAAAAGATGCTCCTTTCTTACGACACAATAGCTGAAGTGTGTTGCTTACCCTCAGCTAATATGCCATGATGATGACGTGTTGATTAAAACTGTCTTATTCTAGTGATGTATATGGTTTGTTTGGTACTATCTATATTCAGTAGACTTCTAGCTTACGCATACATACAACTAATAGATATGCGGTTGAACAACACTGCCCCTACTGATGTCTGTTGCGCGCCATCATCTCTTGCGTTTCTAACCACTGGCAGTCCGAGTCACGTGGTCCCCACAGCAGCGTCGCATAAGGAAGAGGTCCGCCCCCGGCGTCATTTTTAGTACCGCCGATTGTTCGATATCAAATGTAAAATACAAACTATCTGGATAAGCTGTTTGTTGAAGGTTTTAATATAACACTGCGACCAACAACACATTTGTCCCATGTATCACCTGTGCAAATATTCTTCCCAGCAATCCCTTTGCTTGTTCTATTGTGGTCACTCCACATTTACTTTCATGCCAAAACGATCATCCGTTTCATCGGAAACTAATATGCACCTTACCATTTGGCGATTGTGTAGTGTTCACGTGCCTATTCTGTCCTCATTCAGGGGGAAAACTTTGCCACCGCCCCGGGCAGCAAAAGTACTTGCTATTGCATTGGGTCCACATCCTGGAAGGCGGACCGGTTCCACGAATGCTAAGCTTGAGATTGCCCTTTTCATGCTCCTTCACGCCATTGGTTGTCCACCGCGACACTTATTCCAGTCGTTTCCGGGGAGCGCAAATAACGCTCGACGGGATGGTGATAGACTAGCATGCATAATACGTGGCCCATCCAACGTATGTGGTGTCGCAAAATAACGGTTTGGAGGCATGGTCTGTTTGCTCCAAACTCGCTCTCGGACTTCCGTGTTGCTCATCTTATGCCGCCAACACACGCGAGCAATCCTAAGCAGACAGCGTTTGTCAAAAACTGACAATCGCTTTGTCTTCAGGTCTTACAGTCATACAACAGGACCGCACTGACAGAAGAAATGAACACCTTGCCCTTCAGCTTGAGACTGACGTTGCGACGACCTCATAGGTGTCTCAGTCTGATGAACGCAAGGCGGACCTTTACGATCCGTTGTGAGACCTCATCTCCGGCATCGCCGCCAGCTGTGGTGCAACTCTTTAGATATGTGAAGCGAAGGACTTGTTCCAGAACGTCACCAGTAATGGCGAGGGCAGGCACAGGCATCTGCCAATTTCGGTGTAGTATTTTACATTTTCTCGGGGTCATACTTAGACGCCTTCATCGGTAAGTTTCTAGAAGTGCTCGGGACGGCTTTATGGATGGTCCCCAAGCAAAGTGATATCATCGGCGTAGTCACAGTCCGCGACTCCATCACCTGGGAGAGGATCAATACCGCAGTTTTTAGAATTTTTCAATGCTCATTGGGTTACATCTTCAATTACAAACTTGAAGAGGATAGGTGAAGTAGAACGACCTTGACGCACGCCACTGGTGACAGGAAACGAAGTGGAAAGCTTGCTGCAAGCTTTGACTTTGCCCGACGTGTGCCTGTAGAGATCCATCAGGATGGTTGCAAACCTGTCGGGCACACTTTTCCTTAGTAGACAGTTCCATAATGCAGATCTATTACCGAGTCAAATGCCGTTTGGATATCCAAAAATACTGCGATCGTTGGTCGTCAGTGGATGTGACGGAGTTCAAGAAGTTGACGGAGTGTGAACATTTGGTCAATGCAACCTCGGTCCTGGATTAAAACGCGCTTGTTCCTCTCGGGAAATGCCTTCTCCAGTCCCTGAAAGTCTGTGGAGTGTAACAGACACGAAATTCTTGGCGAGAACAGCGATCAGCAAAATTCCGCAGTAATTGGCGCAATCCTCGCGGGAGCCTTTCTTGTGAATCGGGACAATGACCCAGTCACCTCATGCGATTGGGACTTTCTCTTCAATCCCAAATTCTCTTGAATAGTGATAGGATTTCGCTGACAAATGTATTCCCACTGTGTTTGAATAGAGTCCTTGGTAGACTGTCAAGGCAGGACGCTTTGTGATACTTCAAAAGTTGGATTGCGCTTCGGATCTCTGTTTTGGTTGCAGAATCTGTGGGTACAGGACAAGCAACATCTGTGGAAAATGGAGATGTTACAGAGCGATGTAACGGGTAGTTAGATTGAAAAGCAAATTGCTCTACCCAGTGCCTCAAGCGCCTATTTAGGTTGATGATCTTTGTACCATTTAACTCTCAGGTTGTTTGACTGACGGTGCGTGAATTGCAACCAGTGGTCATGAGAAGGCAAAATAAACTGCTTAAGATTCCAGTTGATGCAACGGCTTCTATCACAGCAGCTCATTTTGACCACAGAGATTCACGATCAGAGATAGGACTTGTCTTCAGCTTTTGATAAGCTGACGGAGCCCGTTTTGCTCCACAACGACGATCTAGCAACTCCGAGAATCCGACTTGTGGTTGCGCAGCGGGTGAGTCCGCGGCTGGACAAATCGGCGGACAGCATGGCTTGTCGCAGACCTGACTATAACTGATCAGCATCCAGAGTAGGGAGAGAGCAAGATGTTCACAAAAATTCTTTTGATTACCCGTTTTACCGTTGGGTCCTCCAGTTTGTAAGTGTTCATTCTTGTTTGCTTGGCCCTGGGTGAACCACGGAAACGCATGTAAACTATCGCACACACAAATCCATGATCGGTGTCAACGCAACTTAACCAAAATGACCGAAAATCGCGTACGCTGCCGCGCCAGCTGCGACTTATGGCTTCGTGAATAATTTGTGGCCAGCACTGGATTGATGATGGAGGGCGCCACGTGGCATAGTGTCGTCAGGGGTGACTAATGTTCGTGTTGAAGAGGAAATAGTAGTGGTCTGCGTATAGGCTGAGCAGTCTTTCTGTTGTCGGAGTGGATATCATTATATCTGTGCGGTCCTCTGAGGTGGCGTTCACATGTCAGCAACTGACCGACATGTAAGTTGGAGTCTCCTGCCATAACTATGGTATCTGTTTTTGGCGTCCTTAGGAGCGACTCATGTTGTTGCTTGAACTGGTCCATGACTTTCTCCAAGCTGCAGTCAGTGGGGGGCTTAGGCGGAGATTACGAAAGAGCACTTGTGTCGGTTCGACTTTACTAACCTTGCAAGAGCCATCGAGCCTCATGGTACATTGGTAACTGTTGACCGGAATCCAGCTAGGAGCGATCTTCGCTCTGTCATTGAGGGCGATTCCAATACCAGCTTTTCCAACTGCGGCGAACTCAGCGTCACCAGAAAGCCGCAAGTAATAACGGGTAATGACAGCTAGTAGACTGTATTGGAATCATGGAGTCCTTTTCGTCAGGCAGCAAATATTGATTGCAAGGGTCTCCAGCATACCTGCAAGTTCAGCTTTCAGTCCGAACTGCAATAATATACGCACGTTGGACTTTTCCAGTTTGAACTGCAGTAGCGAAGATGGTTGTCTTCTGGGCTAGCTGTTGAGTTGTTTGGTTGCGAGATCACAACTTTGTAGGCCGAGGTGTGGTAGTTCACAGTGTTTATAAAGTTAGCTTAGTACCAAGACATGAAATCTTGAGAGCGAAAGAGAGTGAACGTATTTGTGTGGCTCCACGGTTTATCAGTAGGCGAGATACGATCCGGTTGCCTTGACCGAAGTTGGCCTTTTGCACTTGCGCTGAAGAGCCTAACGTACAAGGCAGCAGCGCGCAATAAGCATTTCGCCCCCTTTGGGAGCCGGTGACTGAACATTCAGTTCATCCGCAATTCGGATGAAGAAAAGCCATACCTGGAGCCCGACACCCGAAGTCTAAAGCGAAATCCGATGCTCAAATTGCTTGCCGGTGTGAAATCTTTCCGAAGAAGACAAGAAGCAGTTATTTTATCCGGTGGCGAGTCACATCCGGCACGTCGCAGGATTGTGAAGCAGTCACTGGTTTTTATAGGGAGGACGCATGCGAAGCCTAAACCCATCACGTCCTGCAACACTGCCACCGAACCATTAGCCAGCACGGGGAAAACGCGAATCGCCAGCTGGCACCATAGTGAGGTTGTTCGGCAAGCCAGCCTCATTCCCTACAGAAACAACGATATTTGTACAGCTAACTGCGAACCAGCGGGTTCAGTTTGTGGTAGAAGGGTTCTTTCAGCATCAGAGCTGCAGTCGGTGGGAGCATTATCGGAAACCACAAGTAAACGGCGTCTTTTGCTACTTTGTGAATCAATTTTATTTGAGGTCGTCAAACCGGCTGCCTACGGGAATCCAATCAATTTACGAGGACTCAGCCTCAGAGCTGCGAATGATACTTACCCCACCTTGACCAGTGATTGCCGCATCTGCGTCTCCGGATACATGCAACCAATAGCAAGGGGACAAACCGGGCGCAGTTAATCCAACGACCCCGTGAGTGTCCTTGTTCCTAGTTTCGCTCACACAACACACGCCAATACCCAGTGTGTCCAACATGCGTGCAAGTGCCGCCTGTTGACCTATTTGTCTTAAAGTGCGAACGTTGAACGCCGCTAGGTATACGGGACAGCGTGGCGATTGGTGTCCAGTGGGTGACGCACGACGGTAGTTGCGGATGGTTCCGCTCAGTGTCATTACAGCCGTTGTCAGTTAAGCTGGAACCTATAGAGAGATTAGGTTAGTAGTAATGTAGGCTGCGAATAGAGCAAGAGAAATATGTGGAAACGAAGGAATGGAGGCGCCATCAGTAGCACGTTTGCACCTATCCACCCCGCTGTATGCAGCAGATAAGGGGACTCTTGATAATTTGCGCGACGGCCGATGCAGAATGTGGTTGAACTTTGAAGAAATGACCATGGCTGTACGTGGACTGCCAGGACGCCCCAATCTAGACAGGAAGGCGATTTGGGTCCTCGAACAGAATTTTTGGCTCAAAAGCCTATCCGCAAGACAGTGGGGAAGTGATATTTATTTGGTTTTATAAAAGTGCGCGCCATCACATTTCCAACCCGAGCTGGAGGACCAGGAGACTGGGTTTCTATGACTTCTAACTCTTGACCAACCTAGTAGGAATCTCTCTCAAGGGGTTCGGGAACACCACCCAGTATGACTCAATGGGTCTAGGAGGTACTCAAACCGTCGCACCACGTTAAGGTCCAGTCTGGTTGCGACAGCTCCTTTTCCAACGGACCTTTCGGTTTAATGTGAAAATAGTGCTTCTTTAGATTTCCGTTTGCTTTCTAGACCAATCAGTGATATTTCACTGGCCCTTTCATTTTTAGCGTCGGATTTTGGCATATTTTGGAATGCAACCAGCGTTTAAGTTGCTGTTCCCCTTGAACACTCGATCGATTCTCATCCGCCCCTCATCTGTCTTCTAAGATACATGAAGGAGACTGCTAGGTCCGGCCATCCGATGTCTGGAAGTACAGCGCCGTTGTGCGGCTCTGACCAGCAACTTCACTTCCACCCACTGCTTTACTGTGATCCATGTGTATGAAGTCCCCGATTGTGCGACACGTCCTGCCTGACACACTCTCGCTCTGTTGTCGGTTGTCTTGCCTGTGTCGTATTAACTTTGCTTTCGGCGTACGCTGTCTGGCGTGGTTAAGTCTTTGGTCTAACAGCTGCATCTCATTAACTGCGGACATAGCAGAACCTCATCTGGTAACTCCGCATCTATTATTAATTGGTTTGCTCCCTTTCAGGAACGCAGTTGAACTACAGTGTCTCTGTTCCTTACTGGCTCAAACTCGAGGTTTCAGTGATAGCTACTGCATATTAAGTTAGAGCGCAGTGATCACTCAGCATGTAACTCTGACAGACGGCAGTGATTGTCATGATGGACAGAATTGAAGGAGTACTTTTCAGACTTCTCCTCGGAACGTTAATGCACTGAACAGTTGCATTCTCATGCGACCGTCTGCCAAAGCATCTACAATACCGGCAAAATGCTCCAAGTCTGTGTGAAACATTCGAGTCACCAATGACCCTTAGGATATTATAATGCTTCCTACCGTATACTTTCACTCTCCTGGACGAAGAGCTACGATAAGCAGACGAGACTCTAACCCCTCTGCTCCAAAAAGCGCGAAATAGGCTCAATATACCCAGGTAGGATAGAGCCATCCGACGCCTTTCATGACCTTTAATAAGTAGAAGCCTTCCACCCACTTGATTCCCAGTTCTCATCGGCACGATGCTGTGATCAACTGGACTACCGGTAGCATCGCTGGTCGCGTTGTTTGTATCATCTTTTAGCATACATGCTCCAAGCACTCATAATGACATGGTTTAACGCATGCTTTGCTCGTCTAGTCGCATCGCGACTCCTATTTCTACTACTAACAGCAAGCACAGACTAATCGTCCAATGCTGAGCATCGCTTTCACACACACTTCATCTCATTGGTCTTGTCCTAACTCTCTATTCCACATGCTTATACCCACATCATCTACTAAGCCTCCTGATTGCATCTCCTCCACGCAGCGTGTGAATTGATCTGTTCCGTTCTGCACCAAAGACCCCGACTTCACCTCCTCTCCCACCATAGGTCAAACTTTGATTCCCGGCCGTCCATTCTTCCTCCATGAATTAACCCTTCTTCCACCTTTTTAATCGAGTCATCTAATGAATCATCGTCTCACCCACACATGTAACCGCTGTCAGTCCGGACTTGTCGGCTCTCATCCTGTTGCTTTGTTCAGTTAGGCTTCGTGGACTTTGAATTATTTCTCACAGTGGGTTACTCATACAGTAGCGTCTGGAAACCTTTGAGGTTTGTAGTTTACTTGCTTCTGTATAACTTGTTAACTAGTACCCTAGGTCAGTTCTGATCTTCGTGTTCTCCAGCTTTCCTAAGCATTTTGTCGCCTGCACTCGAGTCTTTGATCCTCACGCGTTTATCGAACGATTGCGAAGACTGTCTTCCGATTATCACATCCTTTTTCAGGGTCAAAGACGCAGGTGCCAATTTGGTTATCTGCCAATGGGGATTTGACGATGAAGCTAACCATCTTCTCCTTCAGGAGAAACTACCAGCTGTTCGTTGGGTTGGTGGCCCGGAAATCGAACTAATAGCCATGGCTACGGGCGGGCGTATCGTTCCTAGATTTGAGGAACTTACGAGCGAAAAGCTAGGCAAAGCTGGCATTGTTCGTGAGTTAACGTTTGGTACGACGAAGGATCGCATGTTGGTCATCGAAGACTGTGTTAATTCCAAAGCTGTCACTTGTTTTCTGCGTGGAAGCTCTCGGATGATTGTTGATGAAGCCAAACGATCCCTGCACGATGCGTTGTGCGTTGTCCGAAATCTCGTAAGTTAGTACTTTTTTCCGCAAAATATGGCTGCTTCCTTATCAGGCACTCCTTTAGTTATTACTTTTCAAGACACCACTGTTTTACGTTACTCCTGCTATCGTAACCTGATCATTCGTTTCATCGCTTGGTCCACCGACTCAGTTGATAGATTGCAGGTGTAGTAGTTTTGTCATGCGCCCTTAACGCTGGGTGCTTCGATTTCCATATATATATATATATATATATATATATATATATATATATAATACACAACCTGTGGTATAGATTTTGTGCCATCGGCGTCATGACTGAGTAGGAAAGCAGTATGAATAATAATTAAATAACAGCAACAAAGGCTTTTTGTCTGATTGCTACTCACACTTTTTGAATTCTTTTCAGTTTGTTTTTTTTAGGGGGAGGAAGGAGGGACACCGCAACACACCGATGCATCTATCAGTCACAGACATCGATTTTGAGCCATGGCTTCCAAGGTCTTCAACTAGCAATTATCCGCATCTCTTGTTACCGCAACCAGGTAGTCGACAATAACCGGCCGAGGCCAACTGTTTCTTACGCTTTTCCATGCGGCTTCTCCAAGTTGTAGGTTGTCCACCAGACCGTCTCTTCCAACCCTGTCCAGCAACCGCAAACACCGCACGACGCGGGTAACGCTGAATTGGCATGCGCAATACGTGTCTCAGCCATCGCAGTTGATGCAGTGAGACGAGCCGCTGGCGCAAGTGGCTTCCTCTTCCCAAGACATGCTGGCTGACTTCCACATTGCTTGCGTGGTGCTGCCACCACACACGGTCAATGAACCGCAGACAGCGGGGCTCGAAGACGGATAGTCTACGCAAGTCATCATTACGAATGGGCCAGCTCTCGCATCCGTACAACAGTACAGCACGAACAGTTGCACAATAGACCCTCTCTTTGATGGAGAGACGAATGTCGTGGCGACGCCACAAATGCCTCAGCCTAGAAAAAGCGAGGCCTGCTCTCGAGATGCGCATCGAAATCTCGTCTCCAGCAGCCCCGCCAGCAGTGATGCAGCTTCCCAAGTAGACAAAGCTCTTCACAACCACCAATGTCTCACCACCAAGAGTGAGTGCAGGCGCAGGCACCTGCCAGTCTTGAAAGAGAGTCTTGCATTTGGATGACGAAAAGTACATATCATACCTTGATGCTGCAATCACCAATCGGTTTACTGCAAGTTGGACGGCGTGTGGATCGTCCCCCAGCAAGACGATATCATCAGCATAATCCAAATCAACAACTTGACTACCTGGGAGGAGCTCAACGCCAGTGTCTAACGAACCGCCCAGAGCGTTCTTTAAGACATACTCAATGGAAAAGTTGTATAGGAACGGAGAGATAGGACATTTTTGTCGAACTCCACTGGAGATCACAAAGGTAGGCGAAAGCTTGCCATAAGCCCTAACTCTTCCCGAAATCAGACCATAGAGAGCACGCAGTATGGATACGAACTTCTCGGGGACGCCATTACTCAGCAGGCAGTGTCACAGTACAATCCGATCAACAGAATCGAAGACCGCATATATATTCAAGAACACAGCAATCATTGGCCTCTGATACACATGGCGCAATGTGAAGATTTGATCGATGCAGCCACGACCAGGGCGAAACCCAGCTTGTTCTTTCCGCCGCAACCATTCGCGCGTTGGAGATAGCCTGCGAAGTATGATGGACACCAACCGCCTGCGAACGATGGGGACTAACCTTATGCCTCTTTAGTTGGAGCAGCTTGTGCGCAAGCCCTTTTTGAAGATGGGGACGACGATCGATTCACCTCAAGATGATGGAACTTCCTCTTTCAACCAAAGTAGTGAGTTCTCGAACCAGCGAAGCGCCACTATCTTTAAATAGAGCTGGAGGAAGAACTTCGGGGTCGGGGGCTTTATAGAGCTTCATGCGGCGGAGCTCCTGCTCGATTTGCTGGTGTGAGGGAGGATCTGTGGGGGTAGACCACTCGGCACCAGTGCGAGCGCCAGAGGTACTAGATGGAGCTGGGGGCCAACGGAACTGCGACCTGAAATGTTCGACCCATCGCTCCATCCGTCGTTGAAGATTGGTGATTAAGGGGCCATTCCCTTCGTTTATAGTTTCACTTATACCAGGTCGAACACCTTCGAATGAGATGGAAAAGTTTTCTTGTATTACCAGAGAGACTAGCAAGCTCCATCTCCCTAGCACGTTCACGCCAACAAGCTTCGCGGTCCATTTGCAGATTCCTGCGCAACTCTCGACCAAGGTATTGGCATTCTTCACTGTGGCTGGAATCCGACGAGATCAAGCAGCGTTTGTCCATCAGCGACAAGGAGGGCGGAAATCTAATACTCCGGTGGGTGACGGGCAACTCCATATTTGTCAATACTGGCGGGAATTAAAGCCACTTTGATCTTCGTCCACTGCGAATCAAGGTCAGCGTCAGTAGTTGAGCCAAGCAATGTTGACAGTAAGGCTTGGTACCTGGCTAAAATCGCAGCGTTTTGTAGCTTTGCGACGTCCGATCGGTAGTGAGCGCGCTTGGGTGCTCCTCCGAAATTCATGCACATTTTAGCACGAACCAATACATGATCGGAGTCTAGATAAGTTGACCAGTATGATCGAGAGTCCGTTACGCTTCCGCGCCATCAGTAGCTGTATGTTATGTGGTCAAGGTGGGAGCACTCTTGCGTTTGTGATGGCCGGCGCCAGGTAGCAGTGTGACTCCTCGAGTGCCGAAAACTAATGCTGGAAAGAAAGAAGCGATGATCAGAGCAAAGAGCAAGCAGTCTGTCTCCATTGTCTGATCGACTGCCACCGAGGCCAAAACTACCCCCATGGTTGTGCTCGCTTGGTGCGTTAAAGTCCCCGGCAAGTATGACTGTATCAGTTTTTTGGAGTAACGTAGAAATTCATGTAGCTGCTGGTAAAAGCTATCCTTGACTGCATCCGGACTGCAGTCTGTAGGGGCGAAGGCAGAGACGACAAACAAGGCGCGCTTAACGTCCACTTCCATTATTTACCAACACTGTACCTATTTCAGTGAAATCCTGTGGTGATCAGCCAACAGTATAGCATAGATCGTGATGGATCTCACGTGTCTGAATTTGGTTGGTGTTCGCTGTTTTACCGGTGGTCCAGCTCGTTTTGCCAACTTTGATCCATGCACCAGGCTGTGGTATGCCCAGCTATCTTGATGCACGTCACAAAAATAATAGTAATAATAATAAATTCAACACGACTGAACAATAAAGATCTACGGGGAACCGCTCTGAGTTCAGTGGATAACAAGCCTACTCTGTAATCTGAGGTCGCGGGTCTGAGCCTGCTTAGGGAACCAGCGACTCTTGCAGTATCCATAACCCACGCACGGCTGTTGGCAGTTGCGCGGCAGCGAAGCGTCGGTCCGGCGTACTGCTGTTGCCTTTCTTTTCTGGGTTCACTACACTAAGTGGAGTTACTCTGTGCTGCTCCATTTCCTTGTTTCCTTGCAGTTTTATGGTCAAACTGAGTAGACATACAAAGCACCTTCCTGAGCAGCGTAAGCATGCGCGAAGAGATTACACAGCGCAGTGGTAAGCAAAGACTATCAGACTTTAAAATCCGACGACGGGCATCATCATTACCTGGCACGATACTGCCAACATACATTAGCGATGCTATGAACACAGCGGTGATCAAAAACAGGCCCGCGAAAGACCCAGGTCTGGCAATCATAGAAATGCACTGTTTTTACCGTAGCGTTTTAAACTTGGCCCTTCAGTGGGAGACTGAGATGACGCAGGTACCAGAGGCATATACTTTTGTCGAAAGCTACTCTGATTTTGTAAACTCGCACGACAATCTCATACCCTATTCTTCCCGCTCTCATTCAGCCCCCAAGCTAAACAAACTTTGAATATTTCCATAGAGCAGTTGAATATGGAATTTAGGAGCAGGTTGTAACCGATCTCACAGGAAAATTTGGAACTTCGAAATGCAGTTGTCATTTCGAACTTTGAGGCAGATATTTCCTGCCTGTGTGAACTGACATATCGCAACGATATCGTCATCATACTGTAAGTCACCAGGCTGATCGCCTGGAAGAAATCGCTGCTAAACACAATTTTACATCGTATTCTCCAACATATCATCTTTGACGAAGTTGCACTAGAAGGGTGATGTGGGGCTCACACCACTGGTGATATTTTATTAGAATGAGTGCTCTTCTTACACCCCCGGTGGCCCGCGAATGAAGAATTTGCTTGCCTAAAGCATGTTGACAGACTCAGGCACGTCCCTTCTCGGTAAGCACCTTCGTAGAGCGGGTCTGTCATCTGACTCAAATGATGCTAGATGGACTGAAAGCTCGACGGCGCTTCAGCATCTATCGGATCTTAAAGGTGTGATCAACGCATCGTCTACTTGGGCGAAACCCAGCTTGTTCCTTCCGTATATGCTGTTTGTGTACTTTAGTCATTCTCAAACGCAGAGAGGCGATCCCTTTGGAAGTGATATCTAAAGAACGTATCCATTGATAGTTAGTGCAACCTGTTCAGTCAAATATTTTGAAGACAGTTACGATGTACGCTAAACTTCAAATCCACTAAATGTGAGTCATTCACAAAGGAAAAAGGGGCCTCTATCCATTCGTCCGGACCGGGAGATTTGTGACACGTTTGAAAGCAAAGCCCGTAGTAGACCTCAACCTCGGGGGAGGATAGCAGCTATCCGCTTTCGCAGAAATGGACACCAACCCCATTTGTGGCCCTCAACCTAGTGGACAAGGAGACTGGGTTCGTCTGATCTTTAACGACTGGCTAACCATGTCGGAGTAACCCAAAAGAGATCCAGAGGGACCACCGACTATCACTCTGGTGGGTCGAAGATATGTACAAACCATCCAGTATCGTTGCGACGGCTCGACATGGATAGCTATGCGTAATGATTTGTATTTAACATACGCATGAATTATTCGGCAGATTTTCATTAGTTGAACGGATCGAGCGGAAATCCTTTGGCTGTTTGTGTG